CTTAATGGGTTTTAAAGTGTATGAGTCCCCTTAATCAACCACAGTTGTTTTAAAAAACTGGTAAGTTAGAGAATCTGCAGATCAAAATTTTAATATTTCCAGCTTCAGTGCAATTTTACTAGTTTAAAAAATTTTAATAGTAAAAACCCGATCAATTGAAAGCCAGTAGTTCAACACGCCCAAATACTTATACCCAATATACGTACAGGTGTCTCTCTTATCAACGATCATATTAAAACTAATAAAAGGAATTTGAAAGATTTCAGATTTTACATCATGCCCAAAACGGCGTTTTTTTTTTTTAAAGTTTCATTTATTAAATATCATGTTCTTCGCACTTAAACCATAAGATCAGCAAATTTCAACAGCAAAATAATTCTAAACTTAGCATATCTTTAGAATTTCCGATACGCAGTCTCACGCGCTGGAGATAAAAATGTTTTTCTGTACAACGTCACCATTTCTCGCTTTGAAACCCTTGAGTTTGTTTTATCAAAAATTCGTTATAGATTTACAGAATATGAAATCGATAATAAAACAAATTCAAAACTTCAAATTTGGGCTTGCAGATGCCTATATTCGCAGTAGTATTACGTTATTCAAAACTGGATGGCTCTAGGCACCGTTGTTTTATCACAATGCGAGAAACATACATACATTTATGCAAGATTCTTCATTACTTAATTTCTTCAAATATAATACAGGGTGGTAATATTTGGTGGCAACAGTTTGAAAGTTTATACAGCCATTTACAGTGTCTCAACGCAAAATCGCAAAACGAAAACAATAGTCCCTCAAGGACAAAGCCCCTTTGAACTAATAAATAATAACACTAACATTTTTGTATGGTTTCAAAGTTGCAGTAACTAGCATGTACTTTTATTTTTAAGAATCAAAATTGTAACATAATTTCAAGTGGAAAATGATAAGTTTGGCAAAATTGATCCGTAAATCATAATTGAAAAAAACTGGCTTTGTCATTTTGTCCGCATTAGGTTCAACTTACAAATGCCAGCAAATATTTTCACGCATGAAATTTATCTTAAGTAAAAACAGGAGCAGCTTACTACCGAAAATTCAGTTCGTCTTAAGACGACTAACTATGAGCCAGATATGTGAGTAAGTTGATGTCACAAGTTCAGCATCATAGTACAAGCCAGTTTCCTTAGAAAGTCCTCCACGAAGGCATCCCTTCCTTCCGCGTAGTGTCCTTAGGTCGTAACACGTAAATAATAATAATAAATAAATAAATAATAAGTTAAACATCAGAGTAGCTCCTGATTTCGAAGAGAAAAATAAAAGGTCATTCAGTTATGCTTATTTTTATAATAATTAGCATTATAATTTTAATTTTTATCTTTGAAAGGTATTGTAATTATTATTTCTACAAAATTTATGTTTAAGACCGTTCTAAAATGAAAATAGCACTGGCCCGAAAAGCCTTCTTAATATTCAGATTTTAATCGATTTTGACCCACAGTCAAAAAGAGGTTGCAGTCACCTACCATAAATTCTGATTTGCCTAAGCTTTACTGCAGAGTTGTAATAATAAACATCCTCCGTTCCATAAACATTAACGTTCTATAATCCATAGACGTTATATAAACACATATGAGCTAACAATGACTGCCTCAATAATCTGAATAAGAACTAGTTTTTCCGAGTTACATATTCTTAAATATTAAATATCTTCGAAAAATTGCTTTTATTTTTTAATTTTCTCTCCTTTTGTTAAAAAAAAAACAAAAAAAACTTGAATTTCATTTGCATGTAACAACATTGGTACTTTTATGGCATTTTCAAGACATTCATTTATGTGTTAATTTAGTTCATCAGGAACATACCAGTGTTCTGACCTAACTACCAGTGTTCAGCGATTTTGCCGCTCTGCCAACTAGCGGCAGAGCGATAAAAGTCGATAAAGATAGAGGTAAGAAACCCGCAAACAGGTTGGCTGCATGGGCGTTTTCGTGATGTTTCCCATACGTTACGTGTATATGAGCCATTTTCCTTTAGAAAGTCATCCACGAAGGCATCCTTCCCCTTAGGCAGATACCCCTCGAGGCTTCGCCGTAATCACATAGACGAAAACCAAAAACCAAACCTTCACTTCATCGTCTAAAATCTGTGAAACTTCTTCTAACTACAACTTACCCAAACATGAAGTGACTAGTATTATTTATAGACTCAGGGAATAATTTAATAATGGTATTCAACGTCATAAGTACCATCATCATTCCGTAAGGATGCGGAAGATCTAATTACTGTGTCTTAAGTTCCATTGTATTGCTTTTCTAGCTTTTTTAAAATTTGAAATTGTGTTTATCCTTTTAAAATGCATAAGGTATAAGATTTAATACTAAAAATATAGGTGATATATCTTAATTTTGCGCTTTTGAAGAAATCTGCTTTTCAAGTTAGAAGTTTTCGAATGCTTGAGGGAGTAGCAGGGAAAGATGGGTGGATGCACATTGGGCATCATTTAACTAGAATATACTTGCTGTAGTCAAAGACCATCTGAGAGAAATATTTTCTTGTGTATTTCTTTTTTAAATTTTTATTCAAAACTAAAATATTTCCCCCAAAAATAATTAGATGTTGAAGCGTAAATATATTTACATCGAGATCTGAGCATATCTTTCATATCTGTTTTCTCCCAACAGATGGCAGCACTAATCAAATATATGCATGGCATCTAAATACGTTACAACTCTTTTTTTTTTTTTTTTTTGAATAGCCTCACTCACGATGGTCGCATGTTACTAAACGCATGCTCTACTAAAATTAGCATAGAGTAAACAAATACATTATTCACATAAAAGAAAAATACAGTTTAATGAATAAACAAATGAGAAAATTTGCACTATGCTCCGCATCACCTTTAACAGTGCACTTATCTCTCTCTCATATGAGTACGTAATCTGAGTCTCTTAATGAGTACGTAAATTAAGGGATCCTGACACTTCGAGACAAGATATAGCAATAAAAATGTACTATAAGTATAGTATATAGTAATATGTAACATTTCAAGCGAGAACGAAACAAAAAAATCTTATAAAGAACAAGTAAGCAATTAACCATAAGTCTGAATCGAAACTGCCTTTGAGGCTGTTTTACTTTATCGCGTTAATGTCCGTTTCCAGTGGCTCGCAAACTCTTATTTTTATACACCGGCTATTTCTTTAACTTACGAAAAAGTTTTTGTGTCACTTACGAAAAAGTTTTAACAAAAAAGTTTTTGTGTCGAGGTAAACCAAGAATCGTGAATCAGGAGGTACACCGCGCAAAAAAAAAAAAAAAAAAAAAAAAAAGGAACCGTTCTATATCTTTCGTTCTACTGGGCCGATTGACAAAATTCAAATTGCGTTTTTCATCTCTCGAAAGCGAGACTTAGGATATATATTAGATTTTTATATCGCATTGTTCTAACATAGGTATTTTGACACAAAACTCGAACATTTTCTGAAATAACATACCAATTTTTTCCTCACGCCGATTCTACTGCTCAAATTACGCCCAGATATTAAATTTTGTAAAATTTGGTGCGAAATTTACCGAGAAATTCAAAAATTTATGTTGGGACAATTTTTTCAGTTTTTGCCAAGAATAATTCCCTTGGCGAACTTCTTAATATGTGGCAACCCATTTTCCTTCCCCTTCCATTATGCCGTAGCGGAAAAAAAGGCACCTCATTCCTATACTTTTACATTGTGCATCAGCGGAAAAAAAGCTACATCGTTTCTACTTCCAAGAAATTTTCACAAAGTGTCTAAACCACGTTTGATGTTTTATCGCTTTCAATAAGAATACCAAATTTCGCACCAATATATCTTATTTTCGGAAATTTTGAATAGAAAACTGTAATTTTTTGCAGAATGCTTAGAAATACGTCTACTTTGAGACGATATTAAAAATTTTATAAATTATGATTCAAAACGTTTTTTGTAAAATTTATAAAAATTATTTCAAAATACAAATTTAAAAAATAAATCATAAAAATGGGTGAATTTTATTTGGAATGAAACTAAATTTTGAAATGTGAAAGGAAAAATCAAATAAGTTTAATAAAAAAAGAAAGATTAATAAATATTGTACCAAACTCAATTAACATGGAGGAGCTAAAATTTTGAGAGCTAATTTTTTAAAAAACTACTCGTGCGATTTTTACGAAACTGTGTAGTTTGGCGTAATTTGACTCGTAGAAACGAAATATGGAAAAACGTTGGTATGTTATTTCAGTCCGATTTTGTGTCAAAATACCTATGTTAGAAGGATGCTATATATAAATCTAATACATATTCTACGTCGCACTTTCGAGACATGGAAAAAGCAAGTTGAATTTCGTCAATCGGCCCAATCAACGGGAGATATACAACTGTCCCCCTTCCCCCCCCCACTTTGTACATGAACATTATTGCGTTTAAACTACAAATTATTTCAAAAATTGTGAAAAAAAAACGTAGTTCATTTATAAAAAAAAGAATTCCAAATGTTCGAACTTCCATACGCCAAAACAGAAAGGAGTAGGTTGGTATAGTGTTTTGAGAATATGGCAAAGCACACTAGGGCTATCTGCCTAAGGGGATTGATGCCTTCGTGGAGGACTTTCTAAGGGAAACTCGCTCGTATACACGTTACACATGGGGAAAACCACGAAAACGCCCATGCAGCCAGCCCGTTCGCGAAATTCGAACCTCGAACCGAACTACCAGTGTTTAGCGACTTTACCGCTCGGCCGCTGGTGAGCCCAAAAAGGAGTAGGAAAGAAAACAACATGCTGGAGTTACCGAAATTACTACTTATTTAGAAAAGTTAACACTAATTTCAACATGTTTTCGACGTTTAGTTTTATTTATCGAAGTTCTACTGCATAAGAGAAATTAGAAGTAATATTAGTTCTTCATATTTTTAAATATTAGCTCATCATGTCTTTAAAGCGCATGTTTAAACACTGCCATTATTTTTTTTTTTCATCTGTATAATATTCTTCCTTTTCTTAGGATACTGTTTAGAAATGCTTGAAGGAAGTGAAATTTACAGTCTGCAGACTCAAAACCCAGTAGAGGAGGTAACTGAGCCTCAACTGTGTGGAAATGGAAAGGTGGATCTAGGAGAAGAATGTGACTGCGGAAGCGCAGACGATTGTGCTCGAAGATCAAGCTGTTGTGTTCCTCCAGGTTAGTTGATGATTAGCCTGTTAACTGCATACCTTAACTTTTGTTTCGCAAAGCAGCAAAAAAAAATCTCACAATTTAGTTTTTTAAGGTAATACAAAAAGTACACAATTATAGTCTAATTTTAAACTATTACCAGCTATCATAGACTGTTCACGATAAAATACAAAAATATATTTTGAATACAAGTCCCGGAAAGAATTACGCTCCTTAATTAACGGCGACATGCATCAGTTATAGAGACATTAGGTATTTATGGAAGCAGGCAGGAGAGATTGAAAAATTAGCAACGCCTTCGCCGGGAATCGAACCCCGGACCTCTGGAATACGCGCCGAGCGTGCAGACCACCACACCACGAAGAATGAAGGTGGGACAAATACCTTACATAATTCCCCCCTTTATAAAGGGCGACTGGTGTTTTTTAGGAGACTCAATCGCCAAATTCTGGGTGGGGAGAATCATCATCCACCACCCTTTTAGTTATAGAGACATTAGGTATTTATGGAAGCAGGCAATCTAATCTAATCTAAGAAAATAAGCCGTACCGCCAAAATTGGCACAACCGGCAATTTAAAAGAAACAAACTGAAAGATAACTGGATAAACACTACAACAGAATAAGGACTACTTATCCAAAAACTCATCCTCCGCTGGAGATGTGTCGGCGTCGCCAACGGGTCATCTCGACCTTCATTCAGAATAGAAACCACCTATTTCTTAACATAAAATGACTAAATTAAACTCAAGACAATTGCTAACCTAAACAAACAATTATAAAATACAAATATTGCCTAGCTTAACGAACAATAAGCATTTACAGTTTTCAGTAAATTATACATTGTATGTATACAAATTACATTATAATTTATGCAATTCAACTCAAAAATTTAAGCAATTAAACAAAAGGATCGAAATATACATAATTATTCAAATTGGTAATAATTTTTATAAGTCCTAATTTAGCTTTATTATTGCTATATAGATATTTTTCATTATTTATAGATATATTTTCGAAAATATTCTCCTCTAATTTCCTTCGTTAAGGCACAGTCCCAAATGTAATGTCCATTAGATTCTCCAGATGCATCCTGACCACATCGGCAATGAATATCTTTCCCATGAAACCTTTTTAGATATTCTGGAAATTGGCCATGTCCTGTTATCAATTGATTTAGAAATCTATTGTAACTTAATCTTTGCTCTTTGACAACAGGAAATATTTTATAAACCTTTCGTCCAGTTTTGTCATAATGCCATCTTTGTTGCCATGTGTGGAGAATCTTGTCATGTAGTACACTCTTAATATAATTAAGAGATAAAGGAACCGTGATATCAATATCTGTATTATAGCATGCTTCCTTAGCAGCAGAATCTGCTGCTTCATTTCCATAAATATTCGAATGTCCTTTTATCCAATTTATATGTAATTTCATTTTTGAATTAATATTGTGAATATAATTTCTGACTTTATCTACTTTTGCAGATAAACATTTTCTAGAATTAAGAGAGCTCTAAGGATGCTCTGGGAATCTGTGAACACCGAAATCTCCCAATTTGTAATATATTTCTCATTTTCTTCCTCATTAGCCCATCTTATGGCGTATTCAAAGGCAATAAGTTCTGCATGAAAAATAGTTGAATTATTATTCAATCTTAATTTAGATTTATATACAAATTTATTATTTGCAAAAGCAACAAATGCTTCTCCAACATTTTTATAAATCACGGAGCCATCAGAGAATAATTCCAAACCAACACCAGTTGGAAGAAGTGTCTTCCAGGTAAGCTCTTTAAATTGTGCCGGATGAAAATGAAACTTTTCTAATTTTGGATCAATTTCTCTATTAGAAATCTTCAGGTCACAATAATCTATATTCTTCTTCATATGAACAGCTTTATAAATCAGCGTTTCAGCTTCAGCTACTAAGTCTATAGGCATAACCCCAGCTAAGACCTGTAGGCTGGTGGTAGAGACTGTTCTGTAGCATCCCGTAATGGGTAGCATTGCAACCCTCTGAATCTGTAGCAAATTATTTCTCACCCTTTCCGTTCCAGTCCACCAAACGGGTGAGCCATACAAGATTATTCGTTCAATTCCTCTATTGTATAACTCTTTTAAAATTCTTTTACTTTTAAAAGAATCCATACATAATAATCTATTCATCTTATTCATAATCTTAAAAATTTTTCTTTCAATTTAGTTAAATGTCGCAACCAACTTAAATTTGTATCCAAAATTATACCTAAGTATTTAAGTGTTTTTTCACTGCGGATTCTTTTTCCATTCCACGTCAATAAAGGTAATCTGATTAATTTTGAGCCTTTTGGAATTGTTATCATAGCCATTTTCTCTTGGCTAATATCCAGCTTATTTACTTTACACCAGTTATAAAGTTTATCTAGAGCATTCTTTGCTTTTTCTTCTATAATTAATCTATTACTTCCAGAAATCACCAACACAAAATCGTCAGCATAAGCCTGCAAAAATACATCCTTTTCAAATTTCAATTGTAAGGCAGTATCAGCCACCAGGTTCCAAAGTGTAGGGCCTAAAACAGAACCCTGAGGAGCACCTTTATTATAATATTTCTCAATATTTATATTATTTCTTCTGTAAATAATTTTCCTATTATTTAGATAACTATTAATAATACTGAAGAGGTTTTGAGGACATTTTAAATCTAGAAGTCTTGATTTGATGCTGGGCCACCATAAGCTATTAAAGGCATTGCTAATGTCGATTGCAATCAAAGTAGTATGTAAATTCTTCATCTTATTAATTCTTATAGTGTCAATAATATTATTAATTGCCAATATAGTATCTTTTCCTGGCGTAAATCCATATTGATTTGCATTTAGTAGATTATTGCTACCAAGAAAATAAACAAGCCTATTGTTAATCAATTTATCGAGAACTTTACCCAAAGTGGGTAATAAACAAATCGGCCTGTAAGAAGCCGCTTGCTCAGGAGGTTTATCTTGTTTTAAAAGCAAAACCAATTTGCCAATCTTCCATGTCTCAGGAAAATGTCCCCGTTGAAAACAAATATTAAATAGATCCAAAATGAATTTCCTATTTACATAATAAAGTTCTTTATAAATTTTCAAAGGAATGTTATCATGACCGGGAGCTTTATTCATTTTCATACTCTCCAGAGCAGCAGAAAGCTCACTGGCAGTAAACAAAACATCATTAAAAGACTCCAAACCAACTTTTATTTTCCTTCGGATATCCCGATGTTCACTTTCATCCTCCTCTTCTTTATCTTCCATGATTCATCTGCTTATCAGTGGCAATTTTAAAATGCGTGCCAAGCGGACTTTGCAGAGACAATTTATCCCATATTTTAATCCAGTGATTTTCCTTTGCAATTCTAATGTTCTTTCTATATATTGCAAGATGTTTACAATAAATTTTTTTATAATTTAATCTATCTTCGCCACAGGAATTCTGAAATCTTCTTTTAGAAGCTCGAACTTTTTTCCTTTCAGTATTTAATCCATTATTCCACCATGGAGAATAGTTTTTTTTTCTTTTTTCCTGTATCGTTATAATTAAACCGAAACATTTTCACATATGTCACATATGATAGAATTAATTTCATGTAATTGAGATTCTATATATCTTCATTGATTTCAATGCCAGAAAAATTTTCAAACATAAGCTCCTTTAGAGCAATCCAGTTCAATCTCTTCAACTTAATTTGGTTATTTTGTGTATCATCAATTATCACATTTCTAATCTCAAAATGAATATAATTATGATCACTAAGGCTAATTTTATCAGAAACTTGCCAATTACATATCTCAATGTCTTTAATCAATCTGGAAGCAGTAATATCAATCCATGAATTTCCCAATACTGAAGAGTATGTGGGAAAACTGTTTCTATTGTTGTTTACAACAAAGTTATTTTCAAGTAGAAATTCTGCTAATTTTTTTCCCCTTGAATCCATGTGGTTTTGGCCCCACAATGGATGTTTACAATTGACATCACCATTTATTACTAATGAAGTATTTTTAAATCTATCAAACAAAGAAGACAAACAACGTAAATGATCATCAATAGTTTCTGACGGGGAAAAATAGCATGTAATCAATCAATGTTTTTCCATCCACCAAAACAGCAACTATGTCTTTAGAAGCATAAATTTGTAAAATGGATAAATTTTCATTGAATACAAAGACACCAGATCTTATGTTCTCACCTTTATTATAATATGCTCTGGCACTTATTGGTAAACCATATATCTTTCCTTGATAAACATAAGGTTCTTGTATGCAGATCAGATCAGTATCACTTTCTGTAACCTCAACTCTCAATTGTTCTGTGGCCTTGATTGCATGATGTAAATTGATTTGACAAATTTTAATTGTATGAGATTTACAAGCCATAATCAATTTTTTTGGTCAATAAATCAACTTGTCTAATATAACAAGGACATTCTTTAAATGTATTTTCATGTTTAGTATTAAAGCCCAGTCCAAATCTCGAATTTGCTATTGTAACAATTATAACATTTATAATCTGTTGCGGTACATTCAGTTTGAGAGTGACCTTCTAAACTGCATTTATTACAAATAGAGGTTTTTGTACAAGCTTTTTTAGTGTGTCCAAAACCATAACATTGGAAGCATCTGGTAACTCTTTTATATTCTCTAATCTGGTGCCTTGTCCATTTTAAATAAATTTTCTTGTCTTTCATAACCAGATTAAATGATTGTGGGTCCAAGGAGGAAACGATCCAATGACATCCCATATTGATTTCATATTGAATCTCGGTTCTATAATCGCATTCTCGAGAACGACATTCTGAGATTTCAGTAAATCCCTTATTTCCTCTCCATTCAAGGCAGGATCAACATTATAAATCATAATTCTGGATGTATTTTCTTAAGTCTTTTTACATCCAATTCTTCTTTCAATGTACTATTTTCTCTTATTGCATTTTCAATTATTGACAAATCGTCGTATTTAGTGACCTTAATCAATACTCCACCAT